AAAGCACAAATACTTCCAGTTCATGTCTGTCAATCTGGGGGGAGGGGGGGAATACTAATTCTCCCATTTTTCTGTACCGGTACTAAGAAATTGCAATTTTACACTGCTTGGCGTTGAAAGAAAAGTCGTTAAATTTTTAAACGACGCAGAAAACTTAGGATCGTGTAAGTCGCCGCCCATGAGCATATACAATTCCTGTGTAGTGGCATATTATTTCTATAAGTATATATTTTTTTCAACTAATTTTTTTCACATATTTTATTTCTATATTTAAACATTATATAAATATTTATACCTGCCAACCAGAGACGTAGGCAGTTTAGAGAATATACTCTTTATGCTGCATTATTAATAACTTCTTTTGCCATGTATTGCTTTACTTTGAGTGGCTTCGTACACAAACGAATTTGCGGGATTTTGAGCAATAAAAATCCAACTAAGATTCATCAGCCCTACATTAAAAAATAGTTACTTTATATAATTAACAGATCCACACATTTAACACATTCATCAACAATTAAGCTTCATTTCAACGCCCCTCGTAGAGTTTTGGGTAATTCCGAGTAAAAAAAAACAAGTATACCAGGAGCCAAGTATACCATTTATACAGGGAAGGCCTTTACCCAACATTGGATGCGTCTTTTTTATGTAAGAAGATGGAAAGCGAGCTGGCTATTCATCTGATGCTACAAATTACAAATTTACAAATTACGTTATTTATAACATATTCCAATATTATATGCCTTAAGATTTTTATTAAGTGATAATCGTCGCCCACACACATTTGCAAAACTCGTAGAATTGTAGATGCGTTGCCTCCTTTTAATATTTTATTCGGATCCGGTTACCTACCTCACCAGACGAAACGCATAAGTATAACAGTTACACTTCACGCCGATCTTCCGAGGTCCTGGCACTTCCCCGGGTGCACCTGCCCTTTCTTGCAACTGTTGCGTGGCCGTACTGATAGGCAAATCAAATATAATCATGTATATGACCTCAATCCGTCAAATCACTCGGAAGTTACGCTATCACTGGCAGATATACGTCATCACTGCATAGTATAAAACAAAGTCGTCCCGCTGTCTGTCTGTCCTTATGTATGCTTAGATCTTTAAAACCAAGCAACGGAAATTGATGCGGTTTTTTTACTAGATATTGTGATTCAAGAGGAAGGTTTATATGTATAATACATTGCATTGAAGCCGGGGCGGGTCACTAGTATATACTAATAAATTAAATAGCTAAATCGTTTTGTACTTAATAATTATACTAAGTTGTTTCGGTACTTAGCGGGAGTCCCCGGCTCACTACACAAACGTCTAGCACGCCGGCAACTTCGCAACTTAACTTTCAGCAGCGCCAGCCACCTACGCTCCCGACGCCCGTCGTCAACTCCCCATTATCGCCTTAATATTCCCTCAGTGGCCCGGATTTCCATTAAACTTTGTACATTTTAAACAGTCGCCTTTTGCGCCCACTTCCAAATTCATCGCATATTTTAAGGTGCCCTCGTAAAGTGCTTTGTTCAACTTTTTGGGCGGCTTTAAGGGCGCCGTCGGCGTGGAAATTTCTGTTGCGCTCACAAGCAGCGGCGATCTATCAAAGGGGAGCGATTATGTGTGAGATTTTCCATTGAATAATGGGGCCCTAACTTGTACGGTACGCTTATAACGAAACAACTGTGTTCACGCTTCGGGTTACCGGTGATGTGTGAACGCCCCAAAAACGTGAAACGTGAAACCAGGAAACGCTGAGAACATTAATGCAAATTTGATTCCGATTGAATGCGACGTTAATTCTTCAATTAACTTTTAAATTGATGATTATTTGACGCGTATTTTCTAAACTAAATATGTCATGGTCTCCGTTTATCGCCATCAAATTGCATCAATCGGCATCAATTTTTGCTTAGAGAGTATTTAAAGTGCTAAATGTACAGAAATACATTATTGTAATGATATGAAATATGTTTTTCTTAATGTGAATTATTTATTAATTAAATTTATCAACTTAATTAAAATTAATAATGTATGTAAATTAAAATATCTCTCGCTAAGCAATAAAAGATATCTCCGTTCCTCATTTAACCCAAATAATTAACTCTTTAACTGCCCAGACTGCACTTCTTTGGAACTTGCCTGATGATGATTACATACGTAAGACCAATGGGGGCGTTATTAAAACGCTTGGTCCGTGACTTAAACAGAAACTACCCATTCTAAACTAGAATGTTAAATGTTATCGTTATAAATATGAATATTCTTAAATATATTGATATATCTTTATTATATTTTAAGTATGGTAGCAATTTATTTAAGTATTTATTATTTATTTATATGTGTGTAAATATAATGCTTTTTTCTTCTTAAATGTCTATAAATATAATATAAATATAAGCTAATTATTACACCTTCAGAAAATTTATCTCTTCGGGTTGATTTTGAGTGAATATCTTAAGGCGTTAACTTTATAATCCTTCTTTAATGTAATTGCAATAAAGAATAAACAAATAATTAAATCAGGAAAAATATTAGTCATTATGCCATCATACATCAAATATGTACGCTTCGAACAATTGGGACATAAAAGTCGTTAGACACTTTCTTTATTTTAAACCATCAGATATCATCCCTCAAAAGATATTTAATACTACACCAACATTTGTATGAAAAAATCTACATTCATTCGCATGGCGTCAGTTTTCAGGCTCTTGTCAGGATTCAAGGGAGATTTTAGAGCTGTCAAGTGCACAGGACATAAGTCAAACCCATCTCCACGGTCCCTCGACACACGAAACAAACGCTCCGAGGCAACGAAGCGTATGCAAAATTTTATATCTACAATCTGATATTTTCGCGTGAAAAACCCAAAGAGAAAATTCGAAAAATCCTTTCGAAAAAAATTTTTAAATTCTATTTAAATATTCCGCTCTGTTAACGAAATTAAAAGTTCATTTTGTTATTTAAGACTATCTATCTATCATCTATAAATACTAGTGGTCGCCTAGTGGTCGAAATTCGACCAATAATAATAATTATTCATGTTATGTACTTTTATTGATTTAATGTATTTTTATGAATGATTTGAAAAAATATTTTTTTTTTAAATAAACTATAAGTGTGGGAATGTTCATACTCCTCCGTCCGCGCAAGTTTCGTAAAAAGGGGTTGAAAGTTTTTACTTCACGTATTACTACACAGGTTTAAGATTATGTTTATCACTAAAAGTGAACTGTATAATATAATTAATAATTATCCCTACCGATAATTAATAAATTTAACACGCCACGTGTTCTACATTTTAAAATAAATATATCTAGTTTTTCCTAAAATTATTCCTATTTATTAAACTGTAAAACTAAAACTATATACATACCTTTAAACAATATTGTGCACACAGGTGTGTAATATTTGGCACAATTAATTATTATAGTTATGTAGAAAAAGTGAAGGAAGCTGAAATTTATATACAATACGTTACAGCTACATTAAACAAAATAAATCGTTCTTTATTTATATTCATACTGCTGATATCAAAATTGTACTAGTCTGTTGACATAGAGTTATAGAGTAGAGAGTTTCGACTGAATTATAAAATCTCAAGTTGGCAATGAGCCTGAGGAAAATAATAGTTAATCAAATTTAAAATTTCGGTCGAATTTCGACCAATGAGCGACTACTAGTAAGAATACCTTATACCTTGGCCCTTGATTAATTTATTATAGGATTACTGTAGAGCGGTAGTCGAACCTGGGCCCTTAGCAGGGATGCAACGCACAGCTACGGCGATTTCTATAAAACGGTATATTAATTGAGTTGAGGGCGGGAATAAGCTAGCTATTCCACATTTTCCCCCGTTGTACCCAACCGGCGCTGGGTCTAATTAATTCGAGACCGAGCCGAAATTAACACCGTACTGCGTATTACTAACGCAAAGGTCCGCGTCGACGTATTTGAGTGCGCCACGTCGACTTCGATCGTGCATTAACCTATATAGGTTGACCACTCGACCGGAATTGGCCGGACTCGCCTGCTTTCGAGGACGGAAAATGAGGGTGGGCGCGGGCTTTGTCCGACTTTTCATACTTGGACACTGTTATTAGGTTAACACTGTTAACCTAGTAACAATAAGTCCTGTTAGGACACTGTTAACCTAATGGCATGATAACCACACCTCTGGATGTATCCGGACTTTGATGTGCTTAATAGCGCGTTTTAACTTGTACAGATTATTAACGTATGTTGGGAGATTGGAAATAACTACCGTTATAAGTTGTTTCATTTCCAGTTTATGAAATGCATTCGAATGTCAGAATACATGTCATTAAATGCATCGAATTATAGGCTTTCGATTCTAAACTCTGCATCAAAAATATGTTACATAGATTATCTAATTTACTTCAGTCTGTAATTTTCCGAATCCACACGATAACGTTTTTTGCTCTCTCGCAACTAAGAATTTGCTAATTTTAGATCAGCCTGTATCAATAGAACGATTTCAAATTAGCATCTTCCTAACCATAGGTGAACCAGCCAGTTTGTCATGAATACTACGAGCAAATCTCATGATAACATTAATTTCTATTCACTTTAGAAAATTGGAAACAAATATTATTTAACGAAAATTACTTTCTTACACCAAAAACTATTTATTACTTGTGAAAATGTAGAAAAAAATCCCTGTTTCTCAGGTTGTTATTATTATAACATTCGCCACTGCAGTTAGCTTCTGGTTCCCTGTAATGAGAAATATTATTTATAGCGCAAGTTAAGCCCGGGCCCGTTGTGAGCCCCCGTTGTAAGAGGACAGAATTGACCCCCGCCGTTATATGAGGGGTTTATTACGTTGTTACTCCGCGTGCGATCTATTGCATCTTCCACGTGTTTTATTGGCGGCCGTAAGCAATTTCGCACACCGTATTGCTATTAAAACGTGTTAAGGGCGCTCTATAGCCACGTGTTCTATTGGTAACAGATTTTCATTAGCCTTTAGACGATATGATGACTCAGTTGGCGCAGCTGTTAAGCAACAGATTTCGGTGCCGCGGATTGTGCGTTCGAGGTTGGTTTGAAGAGAAATATCTATATATAAACCAGCGGATCTGAAAGACGTTGTCCTGTAAACACGTCTGAAATCCGAAAACAACTTATAAATAAAAGAATTAGAAAAAATTGTAGTGGACCGAATTGTGAATCTAAACCATTCTCGAATCGACCTGAAGACATCTACAAAATTTCATTAAAATCGGTCCAGACGTTTAGGAGGAGTTAAGTGACATACAAAAGAATTACACACGTGCCGAAGAATTGTATATATAAAGATACATTAAGGAAACAAAATGAAAACTAAACCTGTCGGTACAGGTTTATACTTATACTAAAAATGAAATAACACAAACAAATCAAGAAAAAAAATCTTTTTTGTACTCGAGCAAAATGATGATTCTGATATTTATTACAAAATGTAAGAGGAAATTTCAGTCATAATAATTTTCCACGACTTATGTTTGTTCGAAATCAGAGACCTGGAGAGCATTTTTTAAATTTGAAATAGCTTCATTCAACCAGCCTCGGTAAATGTAAAGCAGATGTTCAAGTTAATCTTGAATAAGAGTCACAATTTTTGTTGTAATATAGAAAGAAATATTGAAAGTAAAGTAAATGGGAAAAGTGGTTTACAAGTTTTAAAAATACAATTGATATTTTCAAGTTAGTCAATTTTGCGGTAAAAATCTTTTCGAACCTTTTCGACGCTACGATTTTTAGTTCCTTTAATAGACTTAGATATAAATGATTTGTTTATAAAGTTGCCTAAATGAAAAAAAAAATATTTCGCTTTGTATAAGTCGACTGAAAATTCAATTGAATTATTATTGCATTGTACTCGAACTGCGCATAAATCGCTAAAGTGTAAATCTCGAGTGATTTTTTCCCAATATTTCCCCTTAAGTTCCCCATAATCCCCAAAAGGATTATGGCGCTATCTCGTGTGCGAAACGGGAAACGCGTGGCGCGAGAGCCTTGACTGCATCCCGGCATCTGTCGGCGGTTCCCGGGAACGCAAAGCTCCCGTCTGCGCCCCCTTCCACTCACCCCTTATTCACCCCGAAAGCCTATCGATCGGCCGTACAGCCACTACACAACCTACGCTAACCGGGGAACACTGCCACTCGTGAAATCTCCAGATCGACCACAAATTCTACCACTTTCGGGCCTAATAAGTAACTAAATGACCCTGGTGCAAAAGCAATAGAGCAAAAGTTCCGAAAAACACAAAACGAAGAGGTGAGTGACCTTTTACTATCCTCCATTGAGAAGTCTCCATCGACGATGACGTGGATGGAATCTTCAATATCCATCCAGATCGTTGATTTTGCCTTCTCTTTGTCATTTCTTTAACTATTTCCTCAATTCTACTTGCTCACGGGCAAGAATCCGTGAAAGTGGCGCATTCGTAGCTTTTTAAGTGCGATGCATTATAGACGTCATTACGAACTTTCTGGAAATAGGTCGCAGTAGGGATAATTGCGCGGTTCGTGTTAAGCTCGGTTAATTCCGTTTTGCGTCTCTAAGGAAATGTGATAGGGTCGAATTAGCAGTAGCTATGAAACTTTACATTGCATTTGCGGCGTATGCTAGTCTGCTAATATGATTCTGAGTTAGAAATTTATAACTTATTGTATTAAAAATAAGACTCGTTTTATGTTGTTGTGTATATTGCCTGCAGCAGGATTATACTTTTAAGGAACTAGATAAACATGGGAATTATGTACATACGAACTCATTGTTTTATCCTTGTTTATAAAAAAATGTTTCTGCGTTTTTTTGCACTAAAACTATCCAATGGATTGACTTGATATTTATACACGACATTATATTGAACAACAGTGTTTTTTATAAGAGTATTATTTATACTTTCTATTCAGAAGTTCCTACAAAAAAGAAAAAAAAAATCCACAGCGAAGTGTGGCATCTAGATTGGTGCTATATGTTATTTGTGAAACCTAACTGGTTGAGCCGCTCGTCCGCGCGTCTGTATCATAGTTTTTAGAAAGAACTCTTTCCTTCTTTTACAATTAACAATGTACGCTTCCGCGTTCTCAGGTGGGGCCGGCCGCGCAGACGACCGAGGCCAGCGTCCACATCCAGCGTGACGGCGCGGCGTCCGAGCGCGACGTGTTCATCGACGATGAGGGCTCCGGCCTAGGGGTCGACGAGAGCTCCGGCTCCGGTTGGGGGCCCGACGACGAGGACGCGCGCGGCTCAGGTGACGCCCCCGACGCGCCCGAGGATGACGAGGACTACGCGCCGCGCGGCCCCGCCCCCGCCCCGCAACCGGACCCGCACCCGCACCCGGACCCGGACGCGCCCCAGCCGGACAGCACGCCCCGTCCGGACGACCCGCTCCCACCGGACACCGAACCCCCGATCCCAACGAAAGTCCGGCAGCCCGATTTAGTCGGTCGTGAGTAGTCGCCGCCGCATGCCAGTTTTGTTGCGTTAGATTTATTATCGATGAGGGTTTTTTTTTTGTTTTCACGCGGACGAACATGAAGTTGTGTGTTTCGGTTTTATACCGTCGGTCGATTCGTATTTTGAATTTTGTACTGTTATAAGTTATTAGACTGCCTAAGTTATAAAATTACTTTAAGATCTATAGTGTTTTCTCGGTAAAGTGATTTCATGTTCGTGTCGCATCACCAGTTGCTAATTTAACATTAAATAAATTAAAACGCCTGTACCAAATTACACTAACAGCTAAGATATAAATTAATATTATTCAAAACCTCTTTTCCTTAAAGGATTCTATTTTCTTTCTTATCGTAAAATTCTTTTTCCCGATACTGTATTTAAAAAAATATTTGGTATAAGTAGGTACTACTAACATAAAGGATAAGAATATACTAAGTATCTAAGTATAATTAAATGCTATCCAACTAACATACTAAAAACCGCTACCAAACAATTTGCATATATGTATTTGTAAATGAAATATTTCAATTAATATTTCACTTCAAGGGAAAGTTCAATGCTAACATTACTCAATTTGTTTATATTAATTTTTTTTTTACAAAATTGTGTGGAACCCGTCTTGTGTGAACAATGCTTAGCGCTGACGCAATATCAAATTAACCTTAATATTTATCCACCATGAATCGACGGGCGGAGTTAATTACGTTCCCACAATAAACACCTTAGTTTCCTTATAAACGTGCAATGAAGCGGTTGTTATGAAAATTAATGTGCGTAACTTGCCTATGCATATGAAAAAATCTAATTCTATTTATTTTCCAACAATAATAAAACTGTATTTAATCGAGAACGACGGAGGAGTTGGGTAAGTCGCTGTGTAATTCATGGATGTTCTTTTAGTCTACTGCATGACCCCATTTAGAGCGCCTTCATCCGAGCGAACGGTTACTTCATTGAAATCGCTCCAATCATGTTTTAAAATATTCATGTACCTAGCATGGTTTCGGAGCCTAATTTATTAATTGATTTCGATACATTTTCATTAGCTTAATAGATTTAGTACATCCATCGGTGTATTACCTAGTTTCGTTTAATTTATTGTTCTTTTTTATTTATTTTTTTGTATCAAAGTCATTCGTTGTTAGTTGTCGATTCCCGCTCCAACTATCCTTACTGACACCCGGGCGCTCAAAATTTTCAATCCTATCCTTACAATATTCTCAGCAATGAGCGAAGTCTTCGCCATCCAAATACAAACTTTCGCAGGCGTTTAGAAGAAACTAAGTATTTATTTCTAACAAGCTTTGTAATACGATACACGACAAAGATAACATGTTCTTTTAGTTTCTTCCTCAGCACAACTCTTTTTATATATGAAAAATAACAAGCTTTAATTAAAATAATTCCAAAATCGAATCAAATCAAATCATTGTCAAAGCCGCGGGTACGATATCAATGTAATCAATAAGGTTACTTACATTTTACTAACTTTTAATATACTAATAGTGGACTAACAAGTTTAAATTTAGAATTTCTAACAAAAGAGCTTATACTTTATGATATACCTTTAGTCTATTTGACTTTATACACGCGCCGACTAATCTCTTTCCATGTGGTTCCAGCTCGCATACTAAAGGGTCAAGAAGCAGGAGAGGGGACGGGAGAGTCGCGTGGCGCGGGGGAGGAGCAACCCTCGCGCCCAGACCTCACGGACATCAGCATATCCGGGGAGGACCTCAGCCCAGACATAGTTAGTATTTTGTTTGCTTTGAATACTTTTAACCGACAAACTTAGCCTTCTTTTTCTTTGACGATGGCGAAAAGCCTACGCATACCCGTCATCACGGGCGCTAGGGCGAGCTATCAAACTCAAAACTAAATTAAACCGGCTCTTTGTTCCAACCAAGGTTCATATTGGCAGAGGCACGGGAATGCTTTCGAATATTCTTTTTGTGGTAGGGCCACGCAGCCAGTTCGGCTGTTGCACGAATAGGCAGCTCCGTCCGTGTAAGTAACACGACCTTACAGAAGACCGGCGCGAAGTCCTCTTGCTAGCCTTACCACAAATGCATCAGTGGTGCAGAACCGCCGAGTCGCGGAGGATTGGGAGAGACCAACCCAATTTTCAAAAGGTTGTCAACGCATCTGTAACCCGTAGCAGATGCCCATGGGCGGCGGTATTCACTTAACATCAGGTGAACCGTCTGCTCGTTTGGCAACTTTTCACATAAGAATAAGAAAGAAGCAATGCCAACACTGCTCTTCTCCCATGATGCCACCTCGGTTGCAGAGGACTGGGCGAGTGGCTATTTCTCTACAATCCTCCCTCTGTCCCCCGCCATACAGCTTGCACGAAAGGCCCATTCGTTATGTTGTGGAAGTATGTAATATATTGTCAGCACGTATAGGTCTAGGAGGTTTGAGTTCAGGCAGGCGTTTGGCCGTAAAAATCACACTTCGTCTTTTCGAGTCAAAATAGCTAATTAAATTTCTTTCGACCAGTATTTGGTCACATCCACCGCTACGGAATTGGCTTCAAATAGACGTAGCTGCAGGAGAAGGTACATAACGGACACTTTCAAATGTGGATCACACAAACTATGGCCAGTTTGTTTAATCCACAATGAAAAAACATAGCCAAAACCACTTAAAACAGAAATAATGATGACGATTATTATAAGGTCTAGTAAGTGAGTTAGCTGGGACCCACTGTTTTCAATTGGCAACGAATCTGCAAGTATTATAGATGCTGGAGGTGGCTCGCTTATCCATCCCATGTCAAAAAAAAGCACTCAAGGTTCCCTTCGACTTTTCGCAGGACCAGGAGCAATCGGGCACGCACATCGAAACGGACGCGCGGCCCGCGGACAACGGGGTCTTCATCATGAACGCGAAACCGGAAGACCGTGCCACCAGCTTCTTCGCGCAGCCCGGCATCCTCGCCGGTAGGTTCACGTGCGACGTGCCACGTGCCCAAGCACAACCAAGTTGTGGATTCCCGGACAGATACGATGTAGGGTTTAGAGCCGTGATAGCTCAGTGTCCGCGCGCTCGCCTTTAATTACATTTACTTGAGCGAGCTGAGTTCGATCCCCGGTGCCGGCACCAATGAAGTTGTAAATTTCAAGTGCTGAATTATCACGTGCTCACCGGTGAAGGAAAACATCGCGAGGAAACCTGCATATTTTCGAAATAATAATAAGGAAAATATTTCGAAATTATGTAGTCTATCCCCTGATCCACCCTCCTTACAGAAGTAGCCGTTGCCAAACAGTAAGACATTTCAAACGACTTGAGCCAAAAGTGGCTTAGTGGTAGAAAAGTTTGTGATCCAACGTCTTGCAACTAATCGTCTTGGCATGCGTGGAAAATATTCCCAATTAGCATAGTGGATGCCTGTCTCTTGCGCCAGAGTTTGTGGGTTCGATTACCACTTCTGGAAAAATATCGAGTGTAATTAACACAGAGTTTTTCTATTGTCTGGGTGTATTATTTATATATATATATATATATATTGATTTCCCAAACAAAAAATGTTTTGGTATGTTAATAAGTAACCTATTACAAGCTTTGCTTAGTTTAAGTATGTTTATTAGTAACGTAGTAAAAACGTAGTAAAAACGAAGCAAACTGCTTAGTTAGAACATGTTTGTAAAACAGGGCACACACACATAGGGCTTTTCCATAGCGCAGGAATCATATATTATTAAAAACCTTTTTTTATACGGGTCTCTTAACGACGTTAAAATAAAAAACAACATGAGGAGTAGTAGCAGAAACTACTGCTGCAAATTAAAAAAAAAAACAAAAGATAATAATAATCTCTAAATAAAATTGGTTTTTAAAATGTCTGTTTGTAATATTAAAATAACCACTTTCTACTAAGTGCATATGGATGTATACACGGTACATATATACCAAAATAACATTTTTTACAATTTTTGTGTCTGTCTGTTTGTTCCGGCTAATCTCTGAAACGGCTGGACCGATTTGGACGGGGCTTTCACTGACAGATAGCTGATGTAATAATGACTAACTTAAGCTACTATTATTTTAGAATTTTTTTTTGGCACAGCTAGTCTGAAACGAATGAACACGACGATATATCAGCACGTTTTAATTGCAGCCGTCATCGGCGGAGCGGTTGTGGGCCTGCTGTGCGCGATCCTGGTGGTGATGTTCATAGTGTACAGGATGCGCAAGAAGGACGAGGGCTCGTACGCGCTCGACGAGCCGAAGCGGAGCCCCGCGGCCGCCTCCTACGGGAAGGGGCACAACAACCGCGAGTTCTACGCGTGAGGCGGCACGTAACACAAACCGCCACAGATTATCCGAAGCGTTCGTGGTCTACAGCGCGTCGGTCCACAGATTAAAAACTCAAATTTTACACAGACTACAATTTAGTTACGCGTAGTTTGACGGCGCCACGTGTCAGACGACCGCCACAGATTATCCAAAGCGTTCGTGGCCTCCAGATTAAAAACTCAAATTTTACACAGATTAAATTTAGCTACGCGTAGTTTAACGCTCGGACAGTTTTGTAGGGACGTGGCGAGCGTTCGTTCTGCGATCGTCTACACAATTTAATTTACGAACACGGTTATTTATTTCACGCAACGTTTTTATGTACAGATTGTACGACGCGCTGTACAAATCAGGTACATTAATTTGTTTGTAATGACGGTTCTTGGGATGGGTAGCGTGATGATCGATACATTTGAATCTTTTTAACGTGTTAAGACCAAGTTTTATATCAATCGACTATCTTGTGAGCCTAAATATCGATCGAGGATTTTGAACGAAAATTTTGTTTCCTTATACCTTGAATGTTGTAAGATTTTACGCCGCTCTATTGTTTTATAAGCACGAGGAGATCTTGTATGTTTTTTGTAAAAATAAATGTGCCATCCGCTTTCTCTAACTGTACATTGCTAATGCATAGATTTATTCCTATCATTTGCATAGACGCGTAAATGTCAAATTTAGTCTATGGTTCGTCCATACGGAACGTTTCTATCAAACACTGTATATATCGATTGTGAATGCCTGTTCCAACCATAAACTGTAAGGAATACACTTCTCTAATATAAGGTGCCTCGGCATATAGGTAATTTTCATTTTAATGCTAGTGGCCTCTTGCAAATGAATTGCCAAACAATATTTAAACGAATTGTCTTAATATAAATGCAAGATCCTTTCAGGAACAGAAAAGGTTATAGTGCAATGACTTAAAACCGCCTTCTATAATTTCACGCACAGAAATAAAGGGGGATAAACAGAAAATCTCTAATTAAAAAGCAAAATATCAATCTTGTGTCATTCTAACTGATGTTTGTACGTCAAAGGAAACTGTTAGGGCAGCTATATTTGAGTCCAACTATGAATGTAATGTTTCACTATTCTAGCCTATATAATAACTTATGTTAACATGTTAATATATCCTGTTTGATAGTCTCATCTTATAAACCAATTGTTCACATACAACCATTTACCGTATGTAATCATTATATTAAAATAAGTTCTAGCTAAGGATGACTTTCTTCGGTATGCTATGTTGTTTTTTCTGTACGACAAAAATTTCTATTTTTAATTATAATTTTTATACTACGATCGAATGTAGTATTTAATATAGTCTTACGATATTTTAAGTTAAGTATTGTTCTTGTCATTTTATGAAATTATGTTTGTATCGATTAATTTCTGTAGGTTGTGCGACGAGTAAGCTCTGGTTATGTTTTTTTTTTAATCTTACTTACACAAATACTTTTGTGCCATTTTCAGTGTTTAATGTCATATAATGATTTCGTTTTATTAAATGCACTCGAGTAAAATTCACAAATGTACTGTGTCTTTTTATATTTACTGACAAAGATAAATATTTAATCATGAATCTTATTTAACCTGACATTGAAAACACATAGTCTTGGGTGTGCGTTAAATAATTATGTTTAACAAGTTTAACTATTAATATATGTATAAATATCGGAAATCATTCGGAGTGACTATCACACTTTAGTTCTTAGATTTAATGTAGTTGTCTAGGCGTTTAATCGTAAGCTGAACATTAATGTATCGATATACGTAACAATGCAAACCGCTGCAAAAAATGGTAGCGCTTTCAACTCGATTCTAGTAATCTTAATTTGCCTAAAATAAGTGCAGCTTTGTTTTTACGACAGCCTAAGTTAAAATGTAACAACATTCCGGAAAAGTCCGAAAAAACCTTGTTATGGCAACACTGCTTACTAACGAGAATGAAAGCATCACTAATGTAACAAATACAGTCGAATGCATAATGCAGGATCCAACGAACTAATCTTGTTAGTGGGCATTCGCGCCTTAACATACGATTCGAACGCTCATTAGGGTAAGCACTGTACATTGTATCTGTAAATTCTTTTAGTACTAAAACCGTGTAAGTTATGACATAGTAATATTTTGTAACCAAAAACAATACGGAAAACTCTCGTTTCGTATAATATTGCAGACGTCTAAAACAGAACACGATACTGTGGCTTTTAGTAAACATATATCCGATGCCTCCTTATAAAATAGAATACTCTAGAAGAAGTGACTATGAAATTTTATGGCATAGTTAATAAATACCAACGGCACGCGACGTCAAACATGTTTTGGAATATCGAAATCAACTCATGGAATCGTTCGACAAAGTTTTTCTTTTATACATTTTTAAAGAAAATAAAATACATGCTAAAGGAACAGAATGTACTCAAAAAATCAAGCCTCAAGCAGCGGCTGTTGATATAATATTGTTTCGCCGATAATTCGTGAGGCTAATTAACTATTTAACAAATGTCATTTATAAGAATTTTCTTAAATATTTACCACCTTGAAAACCTCTGCGGCGTCACAAATTTTTTTATGCTCTAAGTGTTTCCATTTTCTTTTTTTGAATGTTATCGTGGGTAAATTTGGTAAAGTAATCTAAATAGTTCTTGGTGAGAGAGTCACGAGTGAGTAATAAATTTGTGTTGCTGTAATTTATAAGTTTTCGAAAACATAGGGCTTTTTTCATCATTGCATATTAATGTCTGTTATTAAATACACACAATTCCTATTCAGGGCACAAATATTCTCATGACTAAAAATTTAATAGTAACATTTCTAACACATTTTTATCTATGGTAACTACGAAAGAATAAATAATAAAATATAAAGACTAAAAATGAATATGAGAAATTATTAGTCTCAGAGTTTCCAGAAATTAATTTGGCTATAAATAAATGTCTGAAATATATGTAGGAAACACAGCATTTATAAACTACAGTTTTAATTTTTTTTTTTGTTAATTTCCTGAAGGTAAATAATCAGACAATAGCCATATTATAAAATTTTCAAAATCATCAAAATACTTTTGCCTCATGATAGTAATTATAAACATAATTATGATTATACATATCTGACTGAACTTCCATACCAATATATAATGCATGTTCAGAACATAAACGCAATTATGGAAACAAACTCCAATTCATAGTACATTACAAGTTCCCCACTCACACTGCTAAATGCTGATGAAATAAGCCCTTCGATGTATTTTGTACACGTGAAAGTTTTCGTTCTCTATTAAATGTTTAGTGTTTATACTTTGGAACGGTTAGAGTAGGGTAGGCAAAAAAATATCGGTGTCCACCTTGTAAATAATGCTCCTTTACACTTAGGTAATTATACAAGGTCATTACGAACAGTTTGTTGTTTTATTTTCACAATTCCTCGATACCACAACTAACTTACATCGTTTTATGTTGAAAAAAGAAAAAATAATATCATCGATATTGCACAGTGTGTTTGTATATTCTACAAATTAACTATTAAAATTATAGTACTACTAGCTGTCCCGGCAAACGTTGTTCTTCCATATAAATTATTTCTAGGGAATTTGTAGGGTAGGAAAAAATGTTTGGGGTGGACCACCCTTAACATTTAGGGGGTTGAAAAATAGACCCTGGCCGATATGCACACAAAATTTCACGATAAACGGTCATAGGAGTTCTATTAAAAACACCGTGAAACGAGAATTTTATATATTAGATGAGAGAGCATGAGAGGCAACAGAATGTAGTGACAACACTGAAGAAGTACCATGGCTTCTTACATCCACTTGAAATTAGATTATTTATAGTTTTTATATCATGAGTGAAGTGATCACCATCTTTAAGTCGGCAACTCTAAAACTACTGGCGTTCAGATGTTCATGGGCGGGGTAGTCACTTACCGTTACGTAAACCGATTGAACCCTTTCCATTTTATTTAAAAAAACCCCAAAATAAATGATTGGAAATTAATTTTAAAATACACATGTTCCATATGAACCGTGTAAAATTATTTGCGTTATAATCCTTACTAATATTATAAACGCGAAAGTTTGTATGTATGGATGGATGTTTGTTACTCTTTCACGCAAATACTTCTTAATGGATTTTAATGAAACTTTACAACAATATAGCTTATATATCAGAATAAGACAGGCTATAATTTATATACATATTTTATGTATATCTGTCTTTCTGTCTGAATGTTACGCCTTCAGTCTATTTTACGCAGACGAAGTCGCGGGCATCAGCTAGTTTGTTCATAAATAGAAACCCTCATTTCTTAGAAAAAGCACAGTAGATTAAATTTTATTCAGCAGTTAATATAAGCGCCCTCTATCGGCCATTTTTACTTCTGAATCTGAAAATCTGAAATCTTCTGATTCAAAGAACTATAAATATAAAATATTTTAAGAAAAGAATGAAAAGATAAATTCACCTTTATATAAATACTATTAAAGTATTGCTGTTAAATTTATAGATGTAATTAAGAATCCACTTAAGCTTAAACATTTTTAATCTGTATTTCGTATGATCACAAAATGATTTTTCCAGAGACTAGATGGCGCTGCTATTTCGCTGACTTCTTTCCATAGTGTATTGTTTAGGTAAAATATTACTGCATAAACTTTAACATTTCAAAAATACTACTCCACATATACTTCCTGAAATATTCAAATGTATTTGAAAAAGAGAAAAGTGAATAACTTTTTTCTGAATTCTTAATGATAGTAATTATCAAATTTTACCTGCATATGAAAAATAAAAGTTTGTTATATACAGCTATTTCATTTCCGACATACAAGGCAGCGTGGCCGAGTGGTCTAAGGCGCTGGTTTTAGGCACCAGTCCGAAAGGGCGTGGGTTCGAATCCCACCGCTGTCACAGTCTTTTTTTTAACAACATTCTTTTTAAATTGTCTGTTTTTTTATAAATAAATATAGTGAGAAAGTGATAAACAAT